GGCATCCAGTAATGATTTCACAGCTTTCATTGAGTACTACAACCAACTGTTTTATATAAATTGATCTATACCACATCAGGCTGGTGTATTTGCCTGCAGAGTAACATAGAGCCAAAGCTGTAGATCTTAGTGTTTGCTCTTGTTTGTCCCAACTGGTTCCCAATAACTTCTGAAGAATATTGTTCTTTGCTTTGCATTATAGGTTAGCGTATGATCCAATGTATTTATGGGCAAAATAATAATCTATCTGGATGCACCTCCAGGTAGTCTGAAGTTTCTAAGATGCATACTTGTTTCACAGATGAACGGCACATGTTTAAGTCTTAGCAGGACAGGGTTTGAGTTGATTTCTATCATAATATGCACCACAGTGAGTCCAGGAGCATCAATATGAGGCCAAGAAAATAGCCCTCCAGGCTGGCATAGTGCTACTGTGGCTCCTCTGTCATCCAGGACAGACCAAATGATACCATCAGTATCTGTACCGACAGTGCTCAGGAACACCAGATGCAAATTATCTGCCTATCAAATCTACCAGCTCTTTCTACTATGCAGAGCAGCTCAGCGGCGCCACAACTAGAGTAGGGATTACCGTAGCTTTTTCTATATCATCAGCCACAGCTGCGATACAAGGATATCTGCAAGCGAGATCTGAAGGCCTCGTAGGGATTACTGTAGCTTTTTCTATATCACCAGCCAATTCACTTGCCAAATGACAATTTCATTTCCTAATAAACATTTGGCCCTGAAATTCAAATATTAGCGCAGAAGTCAAAGCCAACCCTTAACTACTAGAACTAACAGCCATTAGCTTTTGGCTAAAAATATAACTAGCACTGTGGCCTCTCATTTGACTGGCCTTCTTGGAGCATGCTGGAGTCAAAGGCTTGAGTAAAGTTGGCAAACAGAGCCCACAGGCAGACAGCAGAGGAACAGGGTGAAAGTGATCTGCTTTCCATGCTAAGACGATGGCAACGCCCCACGGCTCCTAACTACCACAGCCACTACTTCCCCACAGATTACGTGCAACTGAACACACCAAATATTTTGCATTGAACAATCCACCTGTAAGGGAAAATGTCTGAAGAAAAGATGTTATTTAGGGTCTAATCACCTGTTGAAACTGTTGGGGCATATTTACATCCTATTTTATTGTTTGTATATCATTTATATAATACCATCAGTGTGCATGGAATTTTACAAAAGTTCTCTGAATCTTGTTGGAAAGTTCCCATGCCAGTTGCATGGAGACTCAGCCAGTGTGAAAACTTCCCACACAGAATTTCTTCAAACACTTAATGCAATTCTATATCACACATGTGTGGTGCTATACATGCTATATAATGTAATTCTGTACCACACATGTGTACAGCAGAATGTCTGCACAGAAATCTCCCACAGTTCTAGTAAATTAACAGGACAAGCTTCTATTTGCAATTGAGTCTCTGTACTCCCAGATCAGACAATCAGATCAGACCCAGTTTATGTTCTGTGCCATGCTTTAAAAATAATTCTCAGATCTAAATGAAATTTGTTCTTTAAATATGAAGTGTCTGGGATTATGAACCTCAGCTTTTTTTTTTAATTTTTGGATTTAAAGCTGTTAAGGAAGTAAAATAGTTTGGCACTATAATCTAGTTTTGTAACTAGTCCTTCACCTCAACTGACACCTTCACATAAGAAATACTCTACTCTGGAAATATTTTATTTGTCTCAGGACTTATTAAAACATAAAAACATCCATCTATAATCTCTAGGCATACTGCCATTCACTTGACCTGCAAAACAAGCTTCTCATGCAGACCACAATTTTTCTATCACCATTAAATAACAAAAGGCAGTGTAAAATGAAAGAATAAAGTTACCTAACCAAATTCAGTATTTTTAATGGTAATAAATTATTTAATATTAACTTAACATTTAGCATGTGTGGGATGAGGGAGCAAGAAAACAGCAATAATTCAAAGTCCTTGTACCATTAAAATTCAGGAGAAACAACAAAGGTTGCCTAACTATATGCAATGGAAACAAAAATGTTCATTTCAATAATTTTTATGCCACTAAACCCATAATAAAGTCATTATTATGATTAAAAGAATAACTCATTTGAACAAATTTAAGATTTAATCCTACACTCACACTACCCCTCAGAGCTAATCACAGACCAAAAATTAAACAAATAAACAAACAATTAAAATAAAATGCCCAACTCAAAAAAAATTAGTTGTTGAATGAAGACCTTTTTTTAGTATTGTATTTTACTTTGTCTTGGGTGAAACATTTTTATATCTGGAGTTAACAAAAGAAGATTATTTCAGATAAGAAGCATTCCACATTATGGATATGAATTAGAATTTGGCCTCCACAGCAATACACCTATCATTAGGAGCCAACACAACACAGTCATTTGATTGTAAAGTGACAATAAATCTTTCACCACAATGTGAACAAAAATAACTGATGTTCAAGGAAACTTTTTGAGCTTGGATTAAAAACACCCGGATTATACATGGATGAATGGGTAGCAACATGGCTTGTTAATCAGATTCAATTTACTTTTTTGTTGATTCTGAGAACTACTGAATGATGGCCAGTAGAATTCTGTAAAGCTTACTTTGAAAGAAAAAAATATTACGGGAACTAGAAAGTTAATTTACACATCACCTGATTCAGTCGGACAAATGCACTTGTATAAAAGGAAAACAAATGCCCTTTCTTAAATTTGGCCTCATTAACAGAGCCTCCAGGACAACATCAGCCCCACAGAAACCCCTGGAAGACGCAGATCTCAGCAGAAAAAAAAGCAAATACAATATTAGATTTCTTTTAGGACAGCTTTTTATTTAGCCTGAAAAATAGGAAGAAAAAAATTGTTACCGATTGCCCCCTTTGTGACCCCCATCCACATCCTTCTAGAGATCCCATTCCACACTAATAAGTTCTAATAAACTTTCTTCAGCATATCATCATTCCTAACACAGTCAATTGCCTCATCCTAACACTATTGCTCCACCCCATAACCAGTTGTGATTTATATGCAAATGTGCACCCCAGCAGGCAATGTACTCTTCATTCATGTCACTGACCATGAGCACCTTGTGGACTATGATAGGAGCAACTCAATTGCCAAATCTGGCAGGTGGCCTCTGTCCTGGTCACAAGCAGTCATAGCCACTGACCATGTTTAACCATTAAAAAGTGAAGTACAAACATACAAACTTATTTACATATCTCACACCCTCTCTTCATGACCTCCCTGCTTCTACCTACTTTTAGCAATTGCTGGTAGGTCCTCCTGGAACTGAAGCTTGCAATACCTCAAAACAGAAAAGTTTCCCTCCCGAAGTAACTGTGGTGCTAATAGTACTTTATGGGGTAGCAGTAAATTTTGAGAGTTACTCTGCCATTGCTCCACACACAACATGACACAACTGACCATAAAGGACCAATATGTGGACAGGGGCTACAATTATACCTAAGCTTAGGTTAGTATGAACACCCAAAAACCTGACAGCATACACTAGTCACACATTAAACAAAAACAAAACAAAAAACAAACCCCTTCAAACCACGTTATGTTGTCATCTGGAAATGTGCACTGTGGCCAAATCCTCTTGGAAACCTACGCAAATGGCATAATATTTGGAATCAAACCACACCACATTAGGAAATCTCTATACAGTGGTGCCTCACATAACGATTTTAATTGGTTCAAAAAAAAACGTTATGTGAAACATCGTTATGCGAAACACCATTTTCCATAGGAATGCACTGGAAATCGGTTAATCCGTTCCAATAGGCGTGGATTGCCGTCCTTAAGCGAAAAAACCCATAGGAAACATCGTTAAACGATACAATGTTTCCTCCATTGGAATGTATTGAAGCTGACTCAATACATTTCAATGGCTTTGCGAAGTCAATTTTTGCAAAATTAAGTGTGTCATAAAAGGGTCAAAAATGGTTTTAAATGCTTGGATTAGCTTCTGCACCCTCTAAAACGGATGCAAAAGTTAATTTGGCTTT